GATTAGTGAATTTAGTATTGAGAAGTCCATGCTAAAGCTATGATCTTCATAAGATAAAACCTCTGATGTTCCATCTAGATCTTGTAAGCAAGGTTATCGAGCGTCTTTTATTGTAAAACACTTAGCTATTCCTCAGATTACGTTTTTCTTTCTCTGCTACCTACGAAGGCAGCTTTAGGCTATGTCATAGAGTAGAATGAACATTGATCTTGCATCTGGATAATTTTCTCAAGAGGTAGCTGCTAACTAGTCATGGTGGCTATTTAAGATCTTTTTGCTATGATCCACCCTGACAATCATTCAACTTTAGAGCGCCTTAAGGGCATTGGAACTGCTGTTAAGCCTTGTTACTTTAATGTTCAAAAGAGACACACTGTATTATAACTTTAATAAGCTTTGGCAGAATGGATGCTAACATTGTCATAGCTAAAATGGGTGGAAAGATTGGTGACCTGCGGTGCATTTAGCTACCCTGCAGAAATTGCTCATTTTATTTTGACCTTTGGTGCACTGAGCTAATATCCAATACTCGGTTAGATTATAGGGCATCCATATCTGCTCTCAGCAAACATCAACCGGCCTCTTTTATTTTTATAATGCTCAAAGCTATGTGACTCATGTTCTGCTCTTTAAACAACATGCTCGTGGAGGTGCGGACGCTCTGCAATTATTACAGTGGGTTTACCATGCATGCATTATTTAATTATTACATCGTAGAACAGTAAAGTGCTTTTTATATCCATTCAATTTTTTTTTTTACTTTTCCAATATGAACATTGTATTAAAATTAGGCTCTGTTAGCATAGAGACTTCACATTAGTGAGTTATAATAATTTAAATCTTATCTGGTTAATCCTTTTCCCTGTCACTTTTTACAATGTGTGAGTATGTGTGTTTTACGAGAATATCAGCCCATGGCTTTTATTATCCATTGAATTAATATGATTATGGCATGGCGTTTGGTATTTGTTCTCACCAGTTTAATGTCTGATACATTCTTTATTTGAGGATCATAATGTATGGAACAGGGGGATGGAAAAAGGCACAGTGTATGACTGCTATCTTGATTTGTGTAGCACAGTCTAAATTCAAAACCCCTTCTCGCTGGTATGATACCAGTCAGTGCAGCTCATGTCATTTAAACCCGCCCCCTGCTATTCTACAATATATGTCATGTGAGTGGTATTAAGATGTTCGATACAGTGATTATTTTCATCAAAGAACAGTGTTTGAAAAATTTATCAAACTAAGGCCTCAATTTAATATTTTTTGGATAGGCATTTCAAATGATTTAATATTTTGAAAAATACTTTAATATTTTTCATACATTGATATATCTTTTATATTTTTTTAATATTTTAACATTTTCAAAACTTTATCCGAAACAACTTTGTATAACTGCATCATTGATGGCATAGAGAGTATCCTGTAGCCCGCCTCGCCTTTACAAATGCAGCCACCTGTAAAAATCATATTTAGCAAATTTGACTGAAAGACCAATTTAGGTATATCTGTAGATAAGCGCCCTCATACCGTTGGAATTAGGTAGTTATCTACTAAGCAGCTACAAGAGAACAGCCGAAGTCCCGAAATTCCGAAGTCCTGAAATTCCGAAGTGCAGAAGTTGCCAAAGTGCTGAACCGAACTGAAGGGCAGAAGTGCCAAAGTCCCAAATTTCGGAATGCCGAACCGAATATTTTCCCCATGCACATTCCTAATACAAGCAAGATGAGGGGTCCAACACAGTACAGAGAGCACTATATTTTATCCTTTTACTTCTAGGTCGAACAATACCAATATTGGACGTTGAACCTGTGCCAGATATCTGCCAATCAAGTATTACCTCATATATCCTTGTGTGGGGATTATTCCACTTCATGCGTGCAATATCAGAGCTGGATTTTAGCTCTGAAAAGTGTGAGTAATACTACTATTACTACCTTATAATTTTATTCATCTATATACTGTGCCATTGGAGTCCTGTTTTTGTCTCTTTTTTTGCATATGCTCCACTGAATTCCAAGTATACAACCGTGAAGATTTACTTCATCCTATATCTGAAGAGTCCTCTTTCTACACGTGGATCCTATCATTTCGGACTTATGATAAGTTATTTGGACTACTGTTAACTAGAGATGTCATGAACCGTCCGCGAACTTCTCGCGAACGGTACGCCACGGTTCGCCACGAGCTGTTCGCAGCGAACTCCGGTCAGCTGACACGTCCCATCCAATCTCCAGCAGACCCTCCCTCCCAGACCCTCCTACTTCCTGGACAGCATCCATGTTGAAACAGGTCTACTGTTAACCGTTCATTTTATATTATATTTTATCATCAGTTTATAATATATATTTTATCATTATTTTATAACATATATTTTATTATACGTTTTAGGCGCAACCTTATTTTATTGTGTATTTTCTTGTGTTTTATCTCATTGTTAGGGGATTAGAGGGGACACCCCTTTGAGGTGTGCAGCCGTTTTACTACATTTCTCTGTGGCAGTTTAGCACTGATATTTTTCTTTTTGTTTCTTCCTGTAAAAATCATAAAGCTGAAAGACGGCCCCTCTGGCTCTCAGGTGTCAAAAGAGGAATTTTTACTTCCTCCTTTGCTGTGCCAGATCCATACATCTTGCATGTGTGGCTCAACGAGGACAGACCCTATCCAATGAGTGACGATCTCTGTCGGCTGCGAGTATGTAGGTAGTTTTACCCTAGTCGGCTTCGTTCGTCGACTCCACCTTTGGTTGGCAAGTGCATATATGCCTGATTGGCAGTAATGAAGGATCTGTCTTCTGAACATTTATGGCGTTTCTGTGTTTAGTCCTGGTTTCCAATGGGTTGCTGCAGGGATATCTGAAGATATGAAGCAATTAGAATATTAAGCCTAATATTCTTTTTTAATATTTTTCTTTTTTTTATTATTATTTTCCTGATTATCTATAAATAATGGAAGTACTATATATTAGTTATGATATACATGTATGTATTGATGCACAATGTATTTCTTCATTGATTGATTGAATATATGTTTTTTTTTACTAATTGTGTTAATAGTCAAATAAAGTTTACACCCTTTAAATAGAGCATTAGTTCAATGTGGTGACAGCTTGACAAAGGCTTCTGTGTAGGCTGAAACATTGCACATTCAGTTTTCAATAAATCTGCCTTTTTGAAGAAATGTTGAGTGCCTGCACCTATTTTTGAACTAATATCTACTAAATTGTTTTTCCGAACCTGGTCTTTGATGCACCTGGTTTTCACTGTGAGAGTGCGGTATCCTTTCTCTTTGAATCTACCAGATGAGTGACGCTAGCCACAAGAAGGCACAGTCAATTTTTTTATATCTTTAATTTAATATTCATATGCAAGGGGGCCATTTGCGGCCTTTTAAGATTAACATAGTTGCACTTGAGAGTTATAACACATTCCTTTGTCACCTTTTATGTATAAAAATTACTGAAAATACAGGCAGTTTACATAGATTAATAATACTTTACCTACTCAGGCTTATTTAAACTGCACTGTTAAATTTACAAGTCAAAAGGAAGGACACAGTAAACTGCGTAATGCTTTATATATTAGATCACTTCTGTACATTCTTAAACAGATTGATATAAGTAAAATGCAAGGTGAGATGAGTAATGGAAATGCACTCAGGGGTGGCAGATTTGAATGTAAAAGATATGAGCATTAAATTCAATATCGTTTGAGGGCTTTTAACATAAACCAATATGGAGCCTGCTTTAAATCATCCACAACTACTACTGATGGTTTTGATTTACTCATAAAACAGGCTGCATTGCTAGACAAGTGGTTTACGAGCGCTTGGAACTATAACCGAGAAATGGCTCTCGATCAATGTTCCCTCTAAGCACTTTCAGTTAGCGTTTAAGAGGTTAAGAAAATAACTTAAAATTACAGCTGCTTCGGAAAATGAGTCTCCCAATGCAATTTTTACATTTCCCCTTTCCCCAAGTTTCTACAACAACTCTTTAAATTCTAATTCTGATTCTTTAAATATATATTGCGTTCAAAGGATTCTGGGATTTGTAGGCCATCAATAACTGGTGGGGGTAGAGTGTGAGTTCCTTATTCTACTGTGTTTATTTACTGATTTCTTTCTTAACTCTTTCCCAGCTGTACGGTAAAATACATCCTGAGAGGAATTAATACTTATGTAACCATGGTAAATTGTAACATTAGTAGAACTCTATCTGACTTAGCAAGGTTCTTCAATGTGAGGCTGCAGTTTATACATGAAGAAGACAAGATAAATTCACCCAGGACAGAGGGGATTGATAAATGATACATTAGCGGTGGAGGGATCGTTCGGGTTGCTGTGCAGACCTCGGATGCGGATATATTGCATGGTGTTTAAGAAATGCAGAGCTGCTTTCTGGCTGTCTCGATGATTCGGGATACCTGATTGATCTGCACAAAGGTTGCTATAGAAGCACAAATGTTGACCTTTCCAAGCTGAAGTAGACAGGGTGACAAGGAGTCTTTGTGGTTTGTTCTGCGGAGTTGATTACTGTGATGTTCGCAGGAATGCTCTCTCACCAGGTATTTCATCTTTTTTAAATTAAAGATTTAAAATATGCTAATGCAGTGAATGCTTCACAACAAAATCCTGAAAGCATTTCGATAGGAACGGAACACAGACAGCAAACTGAGATAGGAGATTTGAAAGAAGAGAGGAACAGATCATTAAAAATAAAAGTATAATCCATTTTATTTGTACACAGATGCTCAGGTGGGGTTGTATGTATTTTATATACAGCAGTGCGAGAATGCAAAAAAAAAAACAAGTTCCGCAGCACTGTACATTGGGTGGATTAACATACACATAATTGTAACCAGACGAGTTACACACAGGAACAGAGGGATTGAGGCCCTACTCAGTGAGTTTACATGCTAGAGGGAGTGGGGTATAGTGACACAGTAACAGAGGGATTGAGGCCCTACTCAGTGAGTTTACATGTTAGAGGGAGTGGGGTATAGTGACACAGTAACAGAGGGATTGAGGCCCTACTCAGTGAGTTTACATGTTAGAGGGAGTGGGGTATAGTGACACAGTAACAGAGGGATTGAGGGCCTGCTCAGTGAGTTTACATGTTAGAGGGAGTGGGGTATAGTGACACAGTAACAGAGGGATTGAGGGCCTGCTCAGTGAGTTTACATGTTAGAGGGAGTGGGGTATAGTGACACAGTAACAGAGGGATTGAGGGCCCTGCTCAGTGAGTTTACATGTTAGAGGGAGTGGGGTATAGTGACACAGTAACAGAGGGATTGAGGGCCCTGCTCAGTGAGTTTACATGTTAGAGGGAGTGGGGTATAGTGACACAGTAACAGAGGGATTGAGGGCCCTGCTCAGTGAGTTTACATGTTAGAGGGAGTGGGGTATAGTGACACAGTAACAGAGGGATTGAGGGCCTGCTCAGTGAGTTTACATGTTAGAGGGAGTGGGGTATAGTGACACAGTAACAGAGGGATTGAGGGCCCTGCTCAGTGAGTTTACATGTTAGAGGGAGTGGGGTATAGTGACACAGTAACAGAGGGATTGAGGGCCCTGCTCAGTGAGTTTACATGTTAGAGGGAGTGGGGTATAGTGACACAGTAACAGAGGGATTGAGGGCCCTGCTCAGTGAGTTTACATGTTAGAGGGAGTGGGGGTATAGTGACACAGTAACAGAGGGATTGAGGCCTGCTCAGTGAGTTTACATGTTAGAGGGAGTGGGGTATAGTGACAGTAACAGAGGGGTTGAGGCCCTGCTCAGTGAGTTTACATGTTAGAGGGAGTGGGGTATAGTGACACAGTAACAGAGGGATCGAGGGCCCTGCTCAGTGAGGTTACATGTTAGAGGGAGTGGGATATAGTGACACAGTAACAGAGGGATCGAGGGCCCTGCTCAGTGAGGTTACATGTTAGAGGGAGTGGGGGTATAGTGACACAGTAACAGAGGGATTGAGGCCCTGCTCAGTGAGTTTACATGTTAGAGGGAGTGGGGTATAGTGACACAGTAACAGAGGGATTGAGGGCTCTGCTCAGTGAATTTACATGCTAGAGGGAGTGGGGTATAGTGACACAGTAACAGAGGGATTCAGGGCCCGGCTCAGTGAGTTTACATGCTAGAGGGAGTGGGGTGTAGAGACACAGTAACAGAGGGATTGAGGCCCTGCTCAGTGAGTTTACATGTTAGAGGGAGTGGGGTATAGTGACACAGTAACAGAGGGATTGAGGCCCTGCTCAGTGAGTTTACATGTTAGAGGGAGTGGGGTTATAGTGACACAGTAACAGAGGGATTGAGGGCCTGCTCAGTGAGTTTACATGTTAGAGGGAGTGGGGTATAGTGACACAGTAACAAAGGGATTGAGAACCCTGCTCAGTGAGTTTACATGCTAGAGGGAGTGGGGTATAGTGACACGTAAGGGTAGGGTAGAAAAGTAGGTTGTTAGGCAGGGCTGGCCCAAGACATTGTGCTGCCTATGACCCAGGCAAGGATGAAATGCTGCCACCCTCCCCCCCACCCTCCCAAACCTCGTGGACAACCAGGAGATCCAGTGGGTGTATTGTATGGAGTGTGTATAGTGAATGTATTGTATGTATGTGTATAGAGGATGCAGTGTCTCTGTGTAGTGCATGTAGTATGTGCAAAGGATGTGTGTATAGTGGATGCAGTGTCTGTGTGTAGTGGATGCAGTGTTTGTGTGTAGTAAATGCAGTGTCTGTGTGTAGTGCATGTAGTGTATGCAGTAGTGTATGCAGCGTCAGTGTCTGTGTAGTGTGTGCAGTGTATGTGTGTCTGTGTGTAGTGCATATATTGGATGCAGTGTCTGTGTGAAGTTCATGTAGTGTGTGTATTGGATGCAGTGTCTGTGTGTAGTGCATGTAGTGTGTGTAGTGGGACTGTGAGGGGTGATCAGGTTTTTAAAATGTATGATTAAGTGTATTTCCCTCTCCCTGACTCTTACTTGTGGTCAGGAAAGTGGACACTAGTTTGCATGGTGGTCCAGTGGCACATTTTGCTTTGTCCTGTGGAGATGGGGCCCCTCCTGCAGCTTCATGTCTCCTGCTCTCGTGAGCTGCGTGGCACGTAATGCATGCCGGAGCGTTGCCATGGTAACCTGCGGCAGCGCTTTTGCAGTGTGCGAGAGGAACAGATGTGAAGCTGCAGGAGGGGTACATCAAACTTCTGGGCTCCCTCTTCACCGGACAAGGTAGCAGGGGCCCAAAATTGCGTATGTATATAGCAGTAATCGCTATATATATATATATATATATATATATACACACACACACATAGGCAGCCCAGGCTCCACAGTAGGTACTTTACAGTGTAAAATGCAGCTCCTGTAAAAGTGCTGCTGGAGCCGTGGCCCCACTGCTGCCAATGGAAGGGCTGTCCCTGAGTGTTTGTATCTGTGTGCGTCTGTAAATCTGCATGTTTATCAGTGTGTCTCTGCAACTTTATGTGTGTCTGTGCATCTGCGTGTGTGTCAATATATGTATCAAACACTGACACACAGCTATTGACATACATACAGATGTACACACACACACTGATACACCTGCAGATACACAGACATATAGACATACACAGAGACACACATACACATACAGACACTGACACTGACACACTGGGGAAGGGTGTCCCAAAAGAACGGTGCAGCCCTAGAGAAGTCTTTAAGGTGAACATCAGAGGAAGAAGTACGACCAGAGGTAAAACGTAGGTCTCTGGCAGAGCGTAGGGACCTGGACGTGACATATTTGTGTATTAGTGAGGATTAGTAGGTCAGAGCAGCATTGTGTAGAGATTTGTAAGCAAGTATCGGGATCTTAAATTGAGTGCTATATCTTACGGGAAGCCAATGTAGGAACTGACAAAGGGGTAAGTGTGGGAGGTGCAGGCGGACAGGAAGATGAGCCTCACTGCAGCATTCATTATAGACTGTAACAGGGCAAGTTGAGAACACGTAAGATCACTGAGAAGTGGATTACAGTATTCAAGGCGAGAGAGGACAGTGGCATGGACAAGCACATTTGCCGTTACTGCCGTCTGTAGACAAACGGCAGTAGCGAGATAGGGTGCTAGTTGGACGGGGGATTAGGATCAAGGTTGGACTTTTTCTGAATCTTGGTTATGGTTGTCTGTTTGAAGGGTAGAGGAAATGTGCAAGAGGAGAGGGAGAGATTGAAAATTTTAGTGAGAGGCAGAGCAAGAGAAGGAAACAAAGTGCAGATGAGATACGAGGGAATAGGATCGAGGGAACAGGTGGTGGGAGGAAAGGAGCAGAGCAGAAACCTCTTTTGCTGTACCAGGTGCAAATAACCCTGACAGCTGAGGAGTGTGGTCAGGGGAAAGGTTGTTGAGAGATGAGAGATTACAAAGTTCGGATGGTGGATGGTGAGAGATAAGAGTTGCAAGGTTTGTGGCGGTCAAGTTGGTAGGAGGAGGAGGCACAACAGGGTAAAGAAGAGAATTAAAAGCATAAAACAGTTACTAAAGTAATTCTCCAATCACTATAACCACTAGAGCACACTGCAGTGATTATAGTGTCAGGGGTGCCCTGGGACCCACCGATTGTTAGTAGTCAGACATTTTTAGAATAGTTTAGCTTCTTACCGCTTGTCCGCTGGGGACCTCTCCCCACCTAAATACCGCTGATAGGGAGACAGATTCTTCAAACGAGGAGTTTGTGTTATCTCTCCAGGGCTAGCTCATTGGCTGAGAGCATCAGTGGATCACTTTCAACCAATGAGCTACATGCTGCACTGCAGTGTTTGGCTCAGAGACCTTCCGGCTCTCTGTCTGAATTTACACCTGTTAGATAGGTAGATAGATAGATAGTGTGACGGTAGCAACTGCTATCACCGTCTAGTATTCCTTTTCCCAATAGCAGAGTATCGCCTAGAATCCACAGGAATAAATATCGCTGGTGTTGCCAAATAATCCAAACATGAGCCAAAGCTTAATGCTGGAACAAGACTGACTTACTGGAAGCAACAGGCATTCCTTTGTTCTTGCCACGTGTTCGTATGCCGAATGGCGGCCACCTAGGAGCACTCAATTACTTTGCGGTTTTGGTTACTTGGTGTTCTAAGTTCTGATTGCTACCCAGGGTGGTCTCCGTTCGGTAGAACGAATACATTTCCCGAACACACAAATTAAACAAATATTTCAAAGTCACTTAAATAGCAGGGAGAGGAAATAACCGAATGGATACAGGGAAATCCTTTACAGATAGATAGATAGACAGACAGACAGACAGACAGACAGACAGACAGATAGACAGATAGATAGACAGACAGATAGACAGACAGACAGACAGACAGACAGATAGATAGATAGATAGATAGATAGACAGATAGATAGACTGATAGATTGGGCTATATATTTAGTTGACAGGAGTCTCTTTATTTTTTTTTTGAAAAATGTATTATTTTTTTTCCATTTATAAATCTTTATCATTATTTTTACATAAATCTAGTTACATTCAGTTTACCAATTATTTGTATTTTAGTAACATCAATAATTACACAAACACTGTATCCATCCTTCGTCTCGACAAAACAATAATTAAATAAATTAATAAAATAAAAAACCATCACCATTCAATACATAATATACACCTCAGAGGTCATCCAGGGGGGCTGTTAAAGACTGTTTAGTAGGCTGCAGGAGAACTGTTACATTTCTCTTAGTTCCAAGGTTTGCTATGTAAATACTTTGTATATATTGTACATACGCATGAGCAATTCTACAAGTGTGCTATGTTTATTAGGCAGGAGACATCTCATAGAAACATAGAAACATAGAATGTGACGGCAGATAAGAACCATTCGGCCCATCTAGTCTGCCCAATTTTCTAAATTCTTGCATTAGTCCCTGGCCTTATCTTATAGTTAGGATAGCCTTATTTATAGGATACCCAGTTTAAACATTTCCAATCTTTGAGTTTGTCAATGTGAAGGTTATGTCCTGGATACATCTAGTGATATCCAACCAACCTTTAGCACCTGACTATATTAGGTATGTATGTTGTTTTCCTACATAATGCAATATCAGTGAGAGCTCTCTGTCTGAACTTCCATAGCGTGTAAAAAGTCTTAAGGCTTTAGCAAATAACCCTATAAGTCTTTCAATCAATATGAAAAATATTTTGTTGCCATCTAATAATAAATAATACTGTTAGGTAATATTAAAATCATTGAAAATCATTTTAAAACAGATTTTATTGTTGCAACAAGATATTAAATTATAAATAATCTTATAAAATAGAGCAATACAAAATATAATTATTATACATACTCCCGCCATAATAATAAGTTGAGCATATTGGAAATCACAAATAAAACAATATTGCATTTGATAACTATAAGGTATTAAGTATCAGAATTCCTATAGAAACCAGATTTATATGAACAGCGCCATCTAGTGGCACTGAAATACATAACATACCAATTAGATATTTCTACTTAATAAATAAATTGCATGTAATAAAATATATTTTTCAAGAGTTCAGTTAGCATGATCATGCAAATATAAACCATTTTTCCCTCATATATATATATATATATATATAAATATATATATATATATATGTATATATATATATAAAGCATATAGTACGCTTATTTAACTTAACGTTTAAACATGAAATGCTGAGATGGGCCTGTGCGTTAATTGCATTCGCAATTAGCA